TCTTTATTAATCACTAGTTCACTTTTTCCTTTTTTGTAATTTAATCAAAGTCACTTTTTGGTTTTTTAACACTTACTGATTTTAGCCAGTCGAAATTTTGGCGTTCCAACACTTGAAAATAGCGGTTTAGTTTCCGCTGTCACCAGATGAAGCGCCCATACTCCGTTGCGCATCCATGTTTCACTCCCGTGTTGAAGTGCCCAACGTAGAGCAACAACTCGCGTGGTCTTTCTTTTTCCGTAAAATGAAAGACAGTGCAATTCCATTTCTACTGTATGGAAAAAGCTCTTTGATGAATCAGTTATCCTGAGGTTGGAACTGTGCTCGTCCGCACCTAGCAAACCTCAGATAATAAACTCATCAGAACAACTGCCCCGATTCTTTATTATTCGAAACCTTTTATACATGAATTTGTTACTTAAACTCTACACAATAGTTTTTCTCCAGTATGTACATATAAAGCGAGACAGATAGTTTTTCTCTTGGAAAGTCGGTGTCTGTTTTTTAACAAGAATTAATGCTCCTCGCGGTAGGAACGGCTATGTAGGATGCTTACTCACCAATGTTTACTTTGACCTTTCTCGAAGCACCTAGTTAAGCCAGCGCGCATCGCTGACGACGCGGTAGCAACTGTTTATAAACAACTGACCCTGGAAATGTGCGACATTGTCACTGCTGCTGTTAAGTTGTGTATTTGCTCCTACCGTATGGGGGTCTATTACTGGTTAATTTCTTACTCAGATTGATATTGGAATTTGAGGCCTTGCACATGGGCTAACTGTAAAAAAAACCTGAAAACGTATCTATCACAAACGAAGTGACAGACGACTAACTGGCGAAGTAATCCATTTAAATAATGTGGTTCACTGTAATAGAATTTTCTTGGAAGCTTGTGCCCGAGGGGCGATTCACTTGTGTATTTTCGATTCAGGCCAACATGAATGCATTGATGAACGTATTGAAGTATTTTTTATCGAATGAACGTGTATTTTGTGTAATAATGTATTTTTTTGTATTTTTTGAATCTATGTATTTTTTTGTGTATTATAAAAATAAAAGTGTATTTTTATGCATTAATGTATTGGAAATCAGTTATAAGTGTATTCTGCCATTTCAGTGTTTATGTTTACCACTCGAACCGATGATCAAACGGATCAAACTCACAATGTTGACGTTTTGTTTGACAAATGCACAACACACGCTAACTTTAAAATACCCACTGATGAGTAGAATTTCACCCATTTTAAAGAAAAGAGGCTTAACTCATTAACTCATTAGGAACTGTTCATTAACTACGTAGACAGTTTTTTTAGGTTTCTCCGCCCCCAAACCCTGCGTAGACAATTGTCCAGACAAAATTTTTAAAATTTGTATGGGCCGCGGATAATTGCCATACCCCCCCCTAAATTGTCTACGTAGTTTATGAACAGCCCCTTACCTCGCTCATTACGCATTAATAAGCATCTGTTACGCATTAATGAATAATCGTTACTTGTTTGTGGCTCACAACTACTCAAAATGTTTTTTTTTTATTTAATAAATGATTTAAGGCACTTTTCTTAAAAATGGGCGAAATTCTACTCATTAATGCATTGTTTTGTGATTCGAGCTCGGATTAAATACAAAATAATAAATTTACGCATTTTGTTCGAATTCAGCATTTTGATTGTACATATTTTCGATTTTTTCGTCCAAATGACGAATTATCGTGTATTTTTATTATTCGTCGAATATTTTTGTATTTTTTTTCCGAATTTTGTATTTTTTTGCATTTTTTTTAGTAATGACGAGTAATGATGAATTTTTGTGTATTTTTTTCATAAACGTATTTTTGATTCATTCTTGAGAGCAGTGAATTGGAAGATTGCCGTAAAAGCTCAACGCAGATGTCGCCACTGCATGATGATGATAATGTTGACAGACTGCATATAAAATTCGTGAAATTTAGCGTTAAATCATAATTTTCATCAAGCCTGTGTAAAATTCTTCCAATATAACATTCGAATTGCAGAAGAAAACGTTTTTACGATCCGACTGATGTGCAACTTTGACTTTTCCAGTTGAACTTTCATAAGATATATTCATTTCATTTCGCGGCTCCAACAATGCTGCATCGTAAATATGATGTAAACAGAAGTAAATTGCTCAATTACTCAAAATAGAGATGATTTGTCATCTTGCTATCACTTTGAAGACCATCTAGCACCATTTTATAGTATGGTGCGTGTTGAGTAAAGCAAGTTCCGTTGCGTTTTCCGTCGAAAATTGTGAGCATCAATATGTTTGCTAACAAAAGGCCAAAATGAACATTTATTGAATATTGGCGTCCTATACAACCAATCTCCATTACCACCAGCATGATACAACCTTTCCTAAGTAAATTCACTTAATTTCCACTTTCATCCTAGTGGAAATCGCACATATTCACCATTTTCCGAAAAATGCCGCTGCGCAGGAGGTAACCTCTCCCTGTGGGTGCAAACTTGTTATGCATAATTTGCCATGAAAACATCTCCGATTCATACCAAAATAATAACAAATAGTTTTCAAACACGTTTTCTTACACGATTCAAGCAAAAGTTTCCACGGGAAATTATTAGTTTTTCTTTATGGACCGATTTGCCCCAAAAAGCGTCTGTTTTACTTGGAAAATTTGGAAACTATCCTCCTTCTAGTAGTTCTCACTTCGAAATGTAGGTGGCGAAAGCTTGGAAAAGTTTCACTGCAAGACGCCAATTGCCCCTCGCTTTTGCCATCATCCACCAGATGGGTTAGTTTTTTTGTTTTGATTCGAACAAAGTTGATTTTGTGTACAATGATTCTTTGACAGTGTGCAAAAAGTACGCCCTAATAAAAATAACCATAAAAGAGAGCTTAACGACGTGTTCGGGGTATCATCCAAACCATTTGTGAGATAGTTTACCTATCCGGGATACAGTTCGTTTATGGTATTTGTTTATTAGGGCGTAACATTTTGTCATTTTTTTATGCATTTCAGTTTTGAATAGAGTGAAAGAGATAGAACCAAAACATTCTAATACATTTGGTGAAAATGCTAGTACAATCCAGTAGTAGTGTTGCCATGTGGTACAATCCAGTAGTAGTGGTGTTGCCATGTGGTACACTGAAAAATTGAAATAGCAGATTAGTCACCAAAGTTTTCGAGCCGCTCCGTCTGTCACTTCGTTTGTGGTATGGTGTGCGCCGGCCTTAAGAAATGAGCGAACGCGGACTGGCTGGTTTTGAGCCAAACGAACTGTCAAAGCCAGAGCCATACACGCTATTTCAAAACTACCTAAATTTTGGTACACGGTTAGAAAAAAGTACCCAAAATTAAGTTCTTTTCACTCATCTCGGCACTATAGTGCAGGAACCCAAAAGTATGTAAAGCGGGTCAAAGTAATTTTCATTTACTTGTGTGCAGTTCGTATGGAATTTTCCACTGGCTTTTTAACCAAAAGTATGTTATTTGTACCCAACAGTAGGTAAATATGATTATACTCAACGTTGGGTTCCCACACTTTACTACCCCTGTTGGGTGGTTTTGCTCCTCCGTTTTTGACTACATTAGAAGGAGAAAAGGAGACAAACTAGTCAAAAGTAAGTAAAAGTGAACTGGCCGTTGGGTACTTTTTTCTTACCGTGTAGAATCCACCCAGATCGGTCAAAACTGAACCTACCCAAAAATGGGTAAACTATGTTCGGATTGACAAATGGACAACATCGACATGAATCCGATCGACTTTGTTCATTTGTCAACTTGTCACTCCGAACATAGTTAACCCATTTTTGGGTAGGTTCAGTTTTGACCGATCTGGGTGAATTGTACCCAAATTTGGGTAGTTTTGAAATAGCACCTATCTTGATTACATTGGCAGTGTTGCTGACCCTCTCATAAGGTCGTATGAATGAAAGCGTTTACTTTACTTTTCCCGTAAGAAAAGCACGGGAAAGTAAAGTAAACTCTTTTTATTCATACGGCCCATAGTCTGCATGCTTCAATCAGAGTTATTTTTATTGTTCGTGAAGTAACCCACAATGAAAACACACCAATATTTAATTTAACAATTTTTTTTACTGTAATAGAGTCGCTCATTACTGTTCATGATCGAATCATGTCAACATTTTATTATGTACATTCATTGTAAAGCTAGGTAGAAGTTTTGCCGTTTTCGGAAGGGTACAACACCCGTAAAAAAAAGAACCATAAAGGCACAATGAAATGTATTGTAACCATACAATAGAATTTATTGTATTTACAATAAATCATATTGTCTACAACGATAAAATAACCATATGATGTATTGTTTTCACAATAGAATCTATGGTAAATGGGAAAATCTACAATAGAACAAGGGGGTTGTTATGTATCTTAACCATAGGAAAAATCACTTTTTCCCGAACAAAGATGAGCCATTTACCATTAATTGTATTGTTGTTCTATTGTTGAAAATTCTTACTATATGGGACGTATTGTAAATCTATTGTAATAACAATATGTTAAAATTTCTTGTACAATATACGTACAATAAGATCGATTGTTGGTAATAGATTTTGTTGTGATTGTATTTTATTTTATGGTAATTGTATTGTTATTATTTTTCCGGGCATTATTGTCGACAATTAATATTAATGTTAGAGCATTGTTTCCACTGAAAATTTCACTGTAATTTTTTTTTCGGGTACACATCGAGTTTATTTTTGCGAATGATAAAAATAGTTCACACAGCAGAAGGCTGATGCTGCGCTCTTGCTCTGCTACCGTCTCTGTCGCTATCACTGTCACTACAGTATAGCTCTTTGCATCAAGGTGTGTAGTGAAAGGTGGCATGACCGTTGTTACACCAACTTTTCTCCTCAACGAACACTGCCATCCTATGACGACAATCCCAGCATCCGTGAAAACTTCATTTGACTGTTTGATTGAACCCACCGGTTTAGTGAGTACATCAGCGACCATGTCTTCTGTTGGACAGTACTGCAACTCGATGCATCCGTCATCACACAGTTGCGTCACGAAATGTCCAGCACCTCAATGTGCTTGGACCAACGACCCTTGCGTTCTGACGTTTCGAACTGGATACAGCTTTGCTTATCACTTTGACAGGATCGCTCAGCTGTTCACCCATGTCCTTCAGCAAGCTCCGAAGCCAGATCAGTTCCTGACTTGCATCACTCAGCACCACATATTCGGATTCCATCGAAGACAGTGTGACGCAACTTTGCCTTCGACTAGCCCACGATACTGCTCCACCGGCATAGTGGAAGACGAATCCTGTTGTTGATCTTCTTGTACCAACGTCACCAGCCCAATCGGCATCCGAATATCCGATTAGCTTTCCAGCCGCGTCGCTGTACTTCAATCTCCACTCTTTCGTTGCCTTCAAATAGCGGACAACACGTTTTGCCGCTATCCAATCCGCCTCCGTAGGCGCACTCTCTGTACGACCCAATATCGCTACGCTAGCTGCTACATCCGGCCTAGCACACACGTAAATGTAGAGAAGCGCTCCAATAATACTCCGATAATCCATCCCGTCCGACAGTTGAGGACTCTTATCTTCCGTGCTCTGGAAACCCTCTTCCATTGGCGTCTTCGCCCGCTTTGCATCACGGAGTCCAAACTTCTCCGCAACACGATCGATGTACCCTTCCACTGAAACACTGTACTTTCCATGTTCTTTCCGAGTCTCTAGTCCCAGGAAGTAATTGTGCTCTCCAAGATTGGTGATTTAGAAATACTGCTTCAGCACTTTATTCACCGCTTCGATCTTCGCTTCATCTTCGCAATCAACCAAAATATCGTCCACATGCACAATCAGGTATACACGTTTTCCATGAATCAGCATTGTGTACAGGCACGGATCAGCAACACTTTGCTGGAACCCCATTTCCACAAGGACACCGTGCAATCGTTGATTCCAGCATCGTGCGGACTGTTTGAGTCCGTAAATTCTCTTTCTCAGACGACACACCATGTTTTCCTTCCCTTTTGCTATGTACCCAGGTGGCTGCTTCATGAAAATCTCCTCGTTCAAATCGCCGTACAAGTAGGCCGTTTTCACATCCAATTGCTTCAACGTCATTTCCTTCTTGCTAGCAACGGCTAACAGCAGCCGCAGTGTGGTGTGGCTGGATACCGGTGCGAAAATCTCGTCGTAATCAACTCCGTACTTTTGGGTACTCCCTGAGCTTCTAGACGAGCCTTGTGGTTGATGATGTCACCAGCTGCGTTCCTCTTCAGCTTGTACACCCAGCGACTGCCAACAGCCTTTCGCCCAGCAGGTAAGTTAACAAGCTCCCTCGTTCAATTCTGTGCGTGAGATTTCAGCTCGTCAACCATTGCCGTTTTCCAACATTCTTTCTGTTCACAGGTCACGGCTTTCTTCAAGAATCTTGGTTCGACCACCTCCGTATCCACAGACTCCGCAGCAAAAATCTCCTCAATCAACGTCTCTGAGGCGCGACACCCTTCGTTGACCTTCTCGGACGCCGTGCTATTTCGTCTAAAGGAAAGCCATGAAACTATTGGTTTCCATCCGAAGCACTATCGTAGAACGATCCATTCAGATCCTGGCCGTATTCTATAGATTCCATGAATTCTTCTACCGACTCCGAATTTTCTTCCGATGACGTTGAGGTCCCATCCGTCTCAGCCCGAGACTCATCTCCTGATGGCAACACTAGCGGTACTTCCAGTACTCCTCCTGCTTCTAGACCCTGGATCCGAACAGCCTCTTTCGTATCGCATAGCTCCAAGAACTTTGCATCCCTGCTAATCATACTCATATCCGTTTCAAGGTTCAAGAAACGATACGCCTTACGACCGTCAGCATACCCTACAAACACCAGCTTGTCAGCCTTGAGATCCAGCTTGCGCCGCTTTTCCTTGGGGATAAGCACGTACGCTTTCGATCCGAAGATCTTTAGATGACCGTAGGAAGGTTTCTTCTTGTTCCAGAGCTCAAACGGTGTCTTAAAGACTGATTCTGCAAATAGTTTGCAGTGCAAATTGCTTCGCCCCAGTACCTCTTGTCCAACCGTGACTCGGAAAGCATACACCGCAGCATCTCAACGAGATAGTGGTTCTTCCGCTCGGCGACACCATTTTGCTGTGATGAATACGGTGCCGTCTGCTCATGAACTATTCCATGCTCCGTGAAAAAACTTTCGCAGCGAACCACCCGTGTACTCGCCACCACCGTCAGAACGAATCTTCTTGGGATAATGCCCGAACTGATTTTCCACCAGACTTCAGAAATCCCGAATTTTCTCTTCTGTGTCCGACTTCCGACGCAGCAGATGCACTACCGTGTAACGACTGTAATTGTCTACCAAAACGATGTAGAATCGATTACCACTTGGCGTTTCTTCTTCCTATCGCGCTAGATTTGCTGTCCGACACTTTTGGGAACGACTCTCGAACCATCTTCCCCTCACAACACGGACCACACACCGACTGAACTTCACAAGGTTCCACTTTTAACCCGTACCCCAGGTTATCACGTATTATTTTGTCTACAGCTTGCATATCGCGATGTCCGAAACGACGATGCCACAAATGACAACACAGCTCTGCATGTTTCGGATCTACCAGAAATGCCTTCTCCGGAGCTTGCTTCAAGTGGTACAGCCCTCCTTTACGCTGCCCAACTAGCACTGTATCTTCTCCTTTCAGGATATGGCACTCCGTTTTCCCAAACAGCACCCGAAAACCCAAATCTGTGAGTTTACCTAGGGGCACTCAACAACCTTTAACTCCAACGCAGGCAATGGCTGTAATTAAATTAATTCCATTAACTCTACTGCTTTAATTACATTAATTACACAATGTAGAACATTAACTACTTTTTAACTCTATTAATTAAAGTACATTAATTACATTTTCAATACTTTTAATTACATTAATTTCGAATAGATAATTTTAATTACCGCCAGTACTACTTTAAAACGCATTAATTACTTTAAGTACTTTTGATTGCATTTTAACTTCAACGCATCGGTTCATTGTATTGCGTGCCCCTCGACTCACCGACAGCAGGTTACCTGCGAGCGATGGAACATGCAGGACGTTTTCGAGCCGAACGTTCATCCTGATGCCATCTCCGTTGAAGGAGACTAGCTTACCGATACCACTTCCAGCTGACTTGATGGATTTTCCATCCGCCAGGCAGACCGCCGTTGCCTTAGGTTGCCACACCATCCAGCAACGACGCGTCACTCGTCATATGTGCTGAGGCACCTGAACCCAGGTACCAGAAACCAGTTCTATCGGCTTCGCCTGCTGCCAAGCACGTTTCAAAAAAGAACGGGATTTGATGGCCATACTCACCTTCTGGCCATCCGTCTTCTCTTTTTCCCGCTTGTCCTGCGCTAATTTCCGGCAATCCCGCCGAAAATGTCCTTCCTTCTTGCAGTAATGACACAACGGGCCTTATTATGGGTGTCACTACACGGTGATAAAGAAGTGATACTCATAATAAGAGGCGTGATTGCCGTGCAAATCAAATGGGAATCACTTCACCGTGACGACAAGTGACAAGTTTTCACCGTGAAGTGACATCCGTAATAAGCACTTCTTTCTTCACGTAGTGCTTACTTGCATACTTCGGTTTAGCTGTGTTCATGACCAGTGCCTTTTCACAAGTACTATCACTCTCACTTTCAGCACGACGTCGACCTTCGTCCAGCAGTTTACCTTTCACAAAGTCCACTGTGATGTCTGCATCTGGTCGACTTTCAAGTGCCACGATCAAACCGTTGTACGATCTGGGAAGACTGGACAACATCAACGCAACGGACCACTTGTCCTTGACTTCTTCCCCCAGCGCCACCAACCGAAGCCGGAGAGCCGACATCTTCTTCAAATGTTCCGCCAATCACCGGTTTCCGTCATTCGGATGGTAATTAACTTACGCACTACGTGGATTAAGCTGGATAGAGATGCGCGCTCGTGGTAATCCTTCAACGCATCCCAAATCTCCTTCGCCGTTTGCTTCTGTATAACGTGGATCAGCTGCGTGTCTTCCAATGCCAAGCCGATAACCGCTTGCGCCTTCTCATCGTTCGAGCTCCAGGTCGCATCAGCAGCCGCTGGCTTCGGATCGGTCACCACTCTCAGCAGCATCTCCTTCGTTAGCAGCAAACGCATCTTGAATTTCCATACCGCGTAATAACCGTCGTTCAACTTCTCGATCGTCACTTTTATGTCCGCCATCTTGTTTTCCACAAGCAAAACCCGGTCACTTGCAAAGTTACGATCCGATTCGTTCGACTCACAACACCGATGAAAAAATCCACTACCGAAAACGATAACTTTGCCCATAATCTCTTGGACTGAAGTTCCAGCGGAATGAAAGGCCGAGTTTTTAATGTTTGATGATATAAACTTTATTTACACACATCGAGTTTACTTTTCCGAATGATAAAAATGACGCACACAGCAGAAGGCTAATGCTGCGCTCTCGCTCTGCTACCGTCTCTGTCGCTATCACTGTCACTACAGTATAGCTCTTTGCATCAAGGTATGTAGTGAAAGGTGCCATGACCGTTGTTACACCAACAAATAGTTTCTCACACAAAATATTTATAGTTTCTGCGATTCGTTCCATCCTAAATTCGAAGTGGTAAGGCAAAATAACCTATTGTCGGTCAAGTTGGACATCGGAAAAACCCACACGTGACATTCGATTTATACGTTATTTTTTTTTATTTATTTACTTGTCTTTGTATAATAAAAACGCACAGACAGAAACCATTCCCCCGAAAACCATTCCCAGAATCTCATTCCCCAGAATGCACCATTCCCCAGAAAAGCATTTCCCAGAATGAACCATTCCCCAGAAAACCATTCCCCAGAATACCATTCCCCAGAAAAGTATGCCATGTATTAAATTGACTATTTTTGTTTATTATAGTCACTCCTGGAATCTTCTTCTCAAGGGATTTTCCCATCTTTGAAAGTATAACAATAGGAAATAATTAATTCTTTGGATATACGATAAGAATATTACCTTCTTTTAATATATAAAAGAGAACATAATTAACTCGTTAAATATATGATAAAGAAGGGAATATTCCCTTCTTTGAAAATATAACAAAAGGAAATAATTAATTATTGGACAAACGATAAAGAAGGGAATATTCCTTTCTTTGAATATATAAAAGAGAAAATAATTAATTCTTTGGATGTATGATAAAGAAGGGAATATTCCCTTCTTTTAATACATAAGGAAAATATGTAATCAATAGCTTTTGGCAAGGGATTCGGGGTAATGACCATTTGGGATAATAACGTGTGGAATAATGTTATAAATTTGTAATCGATAGTTCAACCACAAACGAAGTGACAGACGACTTACTGACGAAGAAATCCATTAAAATAATGTGGTTCACTGTAATAGAATTTTCTTGGAAGCTTGTGCCATCATCCACCAGATGGGTTAGTTTTTTTGTTTTGATTTGAACAAAGTTGATTTTGTGTACAATGATTCTTTGAGTGTGCAAAGAGTGCGTATCATTTTGTCATTTTTTTATGCATTTCAGTTTTGAGTAGAGTGAAAGAGATAGAACCAAAACATTCTAATACATTTGGTGAAAATGCTAGTACAATCCAGTAGTAGTGTTGCCATGTGGTACAATCCAGTAGCAGTGGTGTTGCCATGTGGTACACTGAAAAATTGAAATAGCAGGTTAGTCACCTAAGTTTTCGAGCCGCTCCGTCTGTCACTTCGTTTGTGGTTGAACACCACTACTACTGGATTGTACCACATGGCAACACTACTACTGGATTGTACCAGTATTTTCACCAAATGTATTAGAATGTTTTGGTTCTATCTCTTTCACTCTACTCAAAACTGAAATGCATAAAAAAATGACAAAATGATACACTCTTTGCACACTGTCAAAGAATCATTGTACACAAAATCAACTTTGTTCAAATCAAAACAAAAAAACTAACCCATCTGGTGGCTGATGGCACAAGCTTCCAAGAAAATTCTATTACAGTGAACCACATTATTTTAATGGATTTCTTCGCCAGTTAGTCGTCTGTCACTTCGTTTGTGGTTCAACGTTCCATGCACCGATTTTTCAATCCATAACGAGAAATTCTTCAACTCAGGTCGAACAATTCTTTGATAAGGTTTAACAGTTTCCGACTGGTTGAATTGGATTGCATATTAGACCCTTTGAACGAAGTGCTCAAAAACTTGAAGGTTGTCATTTTCTAAAAAGCTTTAAAATGGTTTGGAATTGATAATTACATAGTTCCATAAAAATAAACGTAGTGTATCATCAATTTAGTAAAGTGAAACTAATCAGAGAGTTTAATCATGAAAAATATATTAAATCAAATGTGTAAAATTTATCGAGAAAATTTGTATTCAGAAGATGTATTATTCAGTGTGCAAGATACCCGCGGACCTGTATATTTATGGACGCCTTACATTAGAAAAATCATTGTGTCTAAAACAATGAAATATTCGGAAAGGATTAAGCTTACTACGTTTTTCTACGTCAATGTATGGAGAGATCCATATTCAGGGCCTTGCATTGGCGCTTTGTAATAAATAAAATATGTATATTAAGCTGTTCTGTAATATAAAACTGGAATATAATATCAAATGACAAAAAAAAAGTGATAAATTACTAATTTCATCATGAATCGCATTCACAAAAAACGAAGCCATCTTGTCATTAAATCGTCGTTAAACACTCAAACAAACATAAAAATAAAGCTGCCTAAATTTTAAGTTTTATTTTTAATTTTCATTACGAAAATCGAATGGCTATTAAGTAGCTTCCGTTATATTTTATTTCGAAGATGCAAAATAATAATAATTCTAACTTTATTTTTTATTTTTATTAACAAATTAACAAAAGGCCGAAAAAACTCGTAGTTTTGGCCTTTCGTGATTCGGCCTTTTGTGTATTTCGGCCTTTTGTGATTCGGCCTTTCGTAGTACTCCCATATTATGATCTAATACTTAATATGGAATATTATCGGTATAGATGAAAACTGGAATAACCCATCAGCGAGAAACCATTTTACTTTTGTTCTGTATGTTGAACATAGTGTTGGAAGTAGGTGCGCAGTAATCACACAATAATGCGCTATGCGTAGGGAAAAGTTCGCGAATCATAATGAACTCTTGCTTCACTGATTTACATGAATCAATTTTAAAAATGCTCTTATATGTACCTAGACATAATAATTATATTAGCAAATTAAGTGCTTCTTATTTCCAATAAAAAATTATCATTTGTAGGGTTTTTGATCTAATTTCCGTCCTACTAAGCACAACACGCACTTTACCTCTCTTTTCTGAACGAGTTTTAACTAAAAATGGAATATTTCTGTCAAAGATGACTTCTAAATTTATTCACCTTTCCATACGTACCGTTAGATTCGATAAAGAGTCATAAATTGTTGAGATATTGTTTAAAATCTAACACTGCTTCTTGGTTATAAATTCGTTTTACGAGTTTCAATTTCGTCCAAACGCATTGAAACGCCATTAGATTTTCTTCGTCCTACGGATAAACGGAGAAAAAGGGGATTCGCTAGGAGCGCTTCTTTTGTTTTGAGAACAATGAGCGTAAATATTCATACAATGCGCTCTAACATGATTTATGTTGTAGCTAATGAACTAACGCATCGGAACAAATCTATTTTTGATTTGAGCACGGTGAAATCATTGATATTATTGATCTTTTCTGATCGATAGAACGGAAATGGGCGATTACGACGAAGTAGCGCTCTACCCTATTAAGAATAAATTCCAAAACAAAATTTCTTTCTAAAAAAATGTACCCTTCTTTTGATCCCTTGCTGTTCTTCCATTTGTCTTATTTTCGGGGTAATGGCCATTCGGGGTAGTAGGGCATTCGGGGTAATGGCCATTCGGGGTAGTAGGACATTCGGGGTAACGGCGTTCGGGGTAGTGACATTGGGGGTAGTGTCACAGAATCGTACAATAAACCTAACGTCGGACAAAGTGCGCGTTATAACGCATCATTGTGCGAATACAGCGCACTATGTCCGACACTATGTTTAACGTACAGAACAAGAGTAAAATCGTAAGGTTTTCCGGTTTTCAACTGTACCGATAATAAAAAGGGGCCATCATTTGTGGATTCAATCAACTGTCACCTTGAGTCGTTTAAGTTTTTGCGGTTTAGAATAACTAGGGACAAGAAGGCCACCCGGGGCAAGAGTGCCATTCTCAATATATGTTAAAAATGAAGACATTTTAATGCTGGCGGATGCAACACGAGCTGGCGCTTTTAGTTTGAATTGTATATGGGGCATTTGGATAAAATACATGAAAAAATAACTCTCATACACTCTATCGATCATAAAAAAGTTTCCTTATTGTCGATATGATTCAGATTTTCAAAACTTGTACCTAGTTCAATTAATGAGTAACAACTTTGCTGAAGATTGCATCATGGATCAAGTTAATTTTATTGATATATTCGCATTTGAATGTATGTATATGAGCATTTTGTATATGCAAATTTCAACCAAATCTCTTATATAAACATTAAACCAAAAGCACCAGCCCGTGTAACGTCAAAAAGAGCTGAAACATTCAGATAGTGGTTATAGCACCAAAAGACACGAGCCTGGATGTTGGCCGGTGGAAAATATGAACTTTTATTTTTAGTGGTAATACGTGGTTGATGTTGATACCTTGCCTAAACTGCAATATACGAGCTGAATGCACATTATTAATTAATATCTCCATAATACTAAATCGTGATGCTGTCTTCAGCAAAGTTGTTTCTTATAGATTAAGGTACGTGCGGTGAAATTCTGAGCTAAATCGAATGTGCTGCACCAGTTCTATGCACAATAGAGTGAAGGAATATTATTTCACCATACATTACAATCAATATCCCCATATAAATTTTAAATCAAAAGCGCCAGCTTGTGTTACATCCGAAAATTTCGTAACACATTTTCTCAACTTTGAATTTTTCACAAATTTTTCAATTTTACCGAAGAGTTCCGCGATTCAAAAACTCGGTAAAAATTACTACCTACTTCTCTCCCTTCCGCTCTCAGAATTCGCTGATTCGGTGTCTCTCGTTGTGTTTTCTGCTGAGACTGAGCAATATTCGATACCGCGAAACATCTCCGCAGTTATGTTTTCTTTCGGCGCAGGAGATGTGCGGTAATCAAAAGTTAAGAATGTAGCTAAACATTTACAATAACATTCTACGAAATTTTCATGTGCGTAGTCACAAAATCTAGGGAACTGCATGGAAAATGTTTTGTAGAACAACTAAATAAACAGAAATGAAAATTTTCAAATCAAAAACATTAAACTGTATGAAATTTTACCAGTTTTTTTTGGTACTTTCAACATACTTTTCAATTTTAATGTATGATAGTTAACTTTAATCGAGTTCTTTTTCAAAGAGTATTGATAGCTAAGACTTTAATCTTTCATTTGGTATGTTGAAATCAGAAAACCACATTGAGATTAAAAAAATATAGCTAACCAAAGATGGCAATACAAAAAAACATAAATTGTTGAATAACTCACTTAGCAGTCATTTCCGACCCTATGTTTCATAGGGATTTTTTCATAACTTTAGGAGCCCTATCTAAATGATATTCAGTAACGTTCATAAGTGCATATTATCTCTTTTCAGATCTACATGGACACATTAAAAGTATTGCCTAAATCGCTATCAGCCGAAAGTAAACATTCCAGTAGGGAAACTTCTCCGAATCGTAAGTAGCAGTATTTGTTCCCTAAAGGAATTTAGTTTAGTGGTTCTCAGCTGAAGACATATGGTGGGCAATGTTGCAAGTTTCTTCATAAAAAGCGGACGACACTCAGCGCCGTTGTAAGAGTATGGCCAAAAGGGCTAATGGAGCGATTTTCTATTCAGCGATTTTCCACAAAATGCATTACATCAATAACAACATTTTTTTTCGATCGTAAAAACAATAGATTCACAAATCATTAAATATATTTTATCTAGAAAACTGTAACGGATTTTCTGAGCTCTAAAATTAATATAATATTTTGAAGTGGGAGATCTCGAAAAATTACCAAGGTCTCATTAAGATTAACGAAGTTTTCCGAGCTACATAAAGGGTGATACGGTCAAAATTTGGTCAAGGGAAAACGCGTGTAAATCGGTGAAATCGTTTATTTAAAAAATCAAATTAAATTTCTTTTTCAAGTTCAATTAGTATAAAATTCAGGAAAAATATTCAGTTAGGCTTCCGCTTTTCCAAATCCGAATTGCCGGGCCTTACGCTTGACCCCTGCCATCAGATTTTGTACAGCCACCTTGTCCACCTTCTTCGCCGCAGAAAGCCAGTTTGCCTTGAACTGCTGCTCGCCCTTAGCAGTTTTTTTGGTCTTCTTTAGGTTCCGCTTGACAATAGCCCAGTATTTCTCAATTGGGCGGAGCTCTGGCGTGTTGAGAGGGTTCTTGTCCTTGGGAACCACCTGCACGTTGTTGGCGGCGTACCACTCCATGGCCTTTTTACCGTAATGGCAAGATGCCAAATCCGGCCAAAACAGTACGGAACAACCGTGTTTCTTCAGGAAAGGCAGCAGACGTTTATTCAAACACTCTTTCACGTAAATTTCTTGGTTGACAGTCCCGGAAGCTATGAAAATGCTGCTTTTCAAGCCACAGGTACAGATGGCTTGCCAAACCAGATATTTCTTTGCGAACTTTGACAGTTTCATGTGCTTGAAAACATCTGCTACCTTTCCCCTTCCTTTTGCCGTATAAAACTCCTGTCCCGGAAGCTGCTTGTAGTCGGCTTTGACGTAGGTTTCGTCGTCCATTACCACGCAGTCAAACTTCGTCAGCATCGTCGTGTACAGCCTCCGGGATCGCGCTTTGGCCGTCGTATTTTGTTTATCATCGCGATTTGGAGTCACTACATTCTTGTAAGTCGATAGTCCGGCTCGTTTTTTGGCTCGATGCACGGTTGTAGACGATACACCCAGCTTATTTGCGGCATCTCGGAGAGAGAGGTTAGGGTTTCGCTTGAAACTACCGGCAACTCTCTTTGTCGTCTCAGCGGCTTCCGGTTTTCGATTTCCCCCCGATCCAGACTTCCTGGCTGTCGACAAACGTTCCCCAAACACTTTAATTACATTTGTAACGGTTGATTTGGCAACTTTTAGCGATTTTGCCAACTTTGCGTGCGAGTAGCTCGGATTTTCGCGATGCGCGAGCAAAATTTTGATACGCTGCTCTTCTTGCTTGGACGGCATTTTGACAACTGAAGAGTGAATTCCAAAATCAAAATAGGAGCAACATTCTACACACACACACCTTCAAAATGAGGGGTGTTCAGGTTTTTTAAATGCAAAATTGAAAGAAATACGTCAAGTTGATATTGACCAAATTTTGACCGTATCACCCTTTACTTATGAAAATTATCCAGCTTATACTATGCTGAACGAGGTTGAATTTTGGAAAGTGAAAGATTGTAATAAGAAATTCTTTTAGAAACCGGGTTCTGTTTTGAACTTGGATGAATTTACAGAAAAAAATACAAAGCAATTTCCATGAGAATTAAGGAATTCTGGAAAGTAATCTTAAGAAATTCCGAGGAGACTAGAAAGTAATTCTAAAAAGAAATTCAAAGGCTTTGTGAGGAAACCTCGAGGTGCATACAAGGTTATAAGTAAAATTACATGGTAATCTTGAATTCCAAGGGATTGTGAGGAAATATTCAGGAGAATTTCAAAGAATCTTTGAGAAGAATTCTACGAGGATTCAGAGGATAATTCCAAAAAACTATAAAAAAAAACTCCACCACTCCAAATAAATTTTGACAAGGCTTCCAAAGCAATGCTGACAAGAAGTTCTAAGGAATTCTGACATAAATGTCAAAAGTATTGTGATAATAATTCGAAAGGAATCTGAACCTGAAGTTGATGCAATTCCAAAGGAATCCTAGAATAGGAAAGGAAAATCTATAATTTTCGACAGCCTCAAAGTGAGGTTATTTAGCAGTTTTGAACTCCATGGAAGTTCAAAAACTCAGAGCATCCGGAGATAGTGTATAGAAGTTAGTAGGAGGATCAAAACAATTAAAAAATATTTGTAACGAAGTTTTGTTGAAATTTTAATGAAATCCAGGGCTGTTACAACAGGCGCGGATTTCGCGAATTTCGCGGATTTCGCGAATTTCGCGGATTTCGCGAATTTCGCGGATTTCGCGATTTTCGCGGATTTGTCGCGGATTTGAACTTTCAGTCGCAGAATATTGCGGAAACATTAAATGATGTCGCGAAAATCGCGAAGGGACTGATGTGCTGTCACAAAAAATGTGGAATTCATTGTAACCTTTCCGTCCCGGATTATTTTGCTGTCTTCAATTTTGCTGTTCATTTGGCTCTCCATTTTTTACCGGTTCAAACCAAACACCCTGTAAATAATCGGAAATTCCCTGAGGTCTTTTTCCAATATGAACATAGCATTTTTCGTTGTCAAATCATAAACGAAACGTATATAAGCGAGTAATTGCCATGTATACCGGATATTCTAAGTTCTCCAAATCGTCCTGGAGTTCAGTTGATTTGTTCTACTATATCAACCAAGACTACAATAATGTCTGTAGTATCGAAATATGTCCAAACAGATTCAAAGTGTCTATATAGATTGTACCCGACCTATACGACCTACGTATACAAGATGTTATAGGTTCTGAAATCATTCTGTAGATCAGGTTATTTTTCTACTAGATCACCCAAGACTAATTCAATATCTGTAGTATCGAAATATGCCCAAACAAATTTGCAGTGTCTATGTGGATCATGCCAAATGTTTTAGGATTTCCAAATCGATATTCGATACTACAGATATTATCCTAGTGTTTGTTGATCTAGTAAAACAAATCATCTGAACTGCAGGACGATTTGGAGAAAGTAGATCATATGGTATACGGGGAAATAATTAAACATTATCCATATAGACACTATGAATCTGTTTGGACATATTTTGATGCTACAGACTTCATCCCAGTCATGGTTGATCTAGTTGAATAAATCATCTGAACTCCAGAACGATTTCTTCTTCTTCTTATTCGCATTTCAAGCTTATTGATTAGTGCATATTAGCTTATTGCATGCTCTCAACTTAGTGTTCTAAATGCACTCTCAAAGTTATTAATTGAGAGCTTTCGATGCCAATACCAATGCATGAATTTGTGTATTGTGTGGCAAACACAATTATACTCTATTCCCAGAGAAGTCGAGAAAATTTCCAGCCCGAAAGATTCCCTCGACCGGACCGGGAATCGAACCCGCCGCCTCCGGTTTAGTAATACCGTGCCTTTAGTGACTAGACTATGAGGCCCAGAACGATTTGGAGTACTTAAAACATCTGGTATACATGACAATAGTTCATGCATGATCCACATAGACACTATGCATCTGTCTGGAAATATTTCGATACTAAAGACATTGTCCCAATCTCGGTTGATCTAGTAGATCAAATTATCTGAACTCCAGGACGATTTGAAGAATTTTGAACATCTGGTTTACTCGGAAATAGATCATGCATGATTAGACATAGACACTTTGAATCTGATTGGACATATTTCGATACTTCAGACATTATTGCAGTCTTGGTTGATCTAGTACAACAAATCAACTGATGTCCTGGTCGATTTGGAAAACCTATAATTTCCTGTATTCCCAGTAATGAGTTGTGCATGATCCACAAAGTCACATTTATACGATTCGGTTATGATTTGACAACGAAAAGTGCTAGGTTCGTATTAGAAATAAAAATAAAAAAACCATGAAAATGTCCCACCATTGGAACCCAAGGAATATCCGTGTAAATATACAACCGCGACGTGACCAACAAGCGTGACTTATGAAACTTTGGTAATTTCTCGATTATTTCCAGGGTGTTTGGTTTGAATCGGTAAAAAATTGAGAAAACTAGAGCCAAATTAACTACAACATTTAGAACAGCAAAATACGTCAGAGACGTAAAGGTTGATTTTCAAGAAAATTTGCATTTCAAATGAAAATGCATTAATTTTTTTTAATAATGTTTCATCAAATCTAGGCCGGTATTATTCAATAGAATCTCATAATGTAAGGGTGTTTTATTATGTTCACCATTACTCAGAATTTATATTATACATAAATAATTCTTTGTTTTAAATTCAAAGGTTACAAACGATACTCGATGCTGGAGCCGACTGAGTTCTATTCCCGTCCGGTCTATTAATTTTTCGGGTTGGAAAATTTCTCTACTTCCTTGGGCATACGATGGTACAGGCATAGAAAGCTCTCAATTAAAATGTGAAAGTACTTCAAAGAACACTAAGGCAAAAATCTAATATGCTATAAGCAATAAGCTTGAAATGCCATGTAGTAGTATACAAATGCAATTTTTTTGGCAATGAAAACAGTTTTTTTTTGTCGCGGATTAGTATTTGAAGTCGCAGATTTCTTTTGAGAAATCGCGGATTTCGCGGATCAAATTTAGAAAATCTTGTAACAGCCCTGGAAATCGTGAAACAAATTATAACGTAGATTCCAGTGAAAGATCGGAGAGAAATTTTGCATAATTGAGAAAGAATTCTGAAAATAATTCTGAGCATGAAAAAAAAGTTCTGATGAGTATTTCAAGGAAATACTGAGATACACTCCAAGTGCCCTGTAAAGAGTTTCAAAAGAATTCTAATATGAAATCTCAATTTGATAAATACATTCCACAGACTGAAAGCATTCCGCGTTGATTTGTGCAATTAATCAACTTCATTACTGACTGGGAATTGCCGTTCATTCTCACTGTACAATTATCTGTGATTCTAAATATTTAAGGGAATGTTAGAGCGTGCTGTACTGGAACCGAGTATACCTCTACATTCCCACACAAAACACGGGAGGCAAATTTTGTTAGAGGGTTAGGTTTGCATGATCAGGATTCACCTTGATTAGTGATGTGATTATTATGGTTTTGACACAACGTGTTGTTATGTTTCTGATTTTTTTTTTTATAAATCAGTGTTATCATGTTTTACAATATTATTGGATCAGCGGCGCCGGTGGTGTAGTGGTAAGCGTGATTATCTCTCACCTCAGCAGGCCTGGGTTCAATCCCAGTCAGCGTCACCGGGATGTTCTGAGGCATAACATCTCTGATCACGCCTTCCTTGGGAAGGGAAGTAAAGCCGTTGGTCCCCGGTTCATGAGTTGATGGGTCGTTAGGTAGGGTCAAGGTGTGGGAGCTGCCTTCCTGGCACGTCGGTAGCATTGGTGCTCAGCACGGAAAACAAGATCAACGGAAAAAACAAACCAAAGGAAAAAAAAAAACTTCAATGTCTTACTCGTCACTTAAAATGAAGAAATCACCTGGCTCCGGGAACAATCTGCCGTCGATGAATTTGAAATATTGATGATACAACTACACAACTACAGCACATTGATCGATCGACACAAATTATATATTACAACAATATGACGATGTTCTTTGTGGTGATATTGTTTTGGGTTTTAGCAACACACGGTAGAAAAGCATCACTCAAGTCGCTAAACTCAAAATAGAAACCAACATGAATCACCGGTGGAAGAATGCACGGATAGAAATCTCCTTATACCTTTTGGCAAATTTCCATTGCTGATTATTCATAAAATGTATAAGTCAACTAATAAGCAGACGCCTTGCAAAAAGTTAATAAAGATCATGTGTCAAATGAAATGTATAAGCGGTCACACATACCTTTCATGCATTCTAATAGGACCTATGTGGTTTGTTTTATGGAATGTATAAGGCTGATGCTTTGGCAAAAATGTATAAGTGAAACACATGAATTAAATAATTGATTTTCGTTTCGTGTGGGGTGCTAAGCTAAAATAACTACCTATATGGAGCCTTATTATAGGGATAGAGATAGCTCCTCCCGTGGCGGTGCTCTTAGGAAAGACACCTTGTGGTTTAAGTAAATGCATGGAAAATTTTGATGCTTCCAATTTTAGTTAAATTTCTTAGATTTTTAGCTTATTTGTACTATATGCCACAAAATTGCTGACTAACTTCGCCGTCGAATGCCATTTCACATTAATGCTTTGGAGAAATATGCGTATAGTATAGTAAAAAAAGACGTATAGTATAGTAAAAAAGACGTAGTCCTACGTCAAAAGATGGGAGACGGGGCAAGATGAGTAAGCTAGAAAATGAATTAATTTATTTGTTTGTCAAAATCCACAGGTTCAACGCAACTCCAATGATGGCTTACTTTTTCAAACCAGGGGGCTTCATTGAGCCTGTTGATGTTGGTAGTCAATAAAAAAAATCAAATAGATGAGACTTTCATCGCATTCGACTATCTTAAAATATTGATGGATTACTTTAGCCCAATAAGGTTCTCATTTGTACCCAAGCTTGCAAGTACTCATTTCGCTATAAAAATGTTGTTGTTAACATCCATGATGTTAAGAACTATGCTTGGGCCATCCACATTACCCTTATTACCCAACCTTACTGATACAAAACATTTATTTAAAATAATCAAATTGTTTCAAGTAATTTAAGCATTCATGAAAAGATTTCAAATAATGGTTCTGCTGATTGCATTGTATTTTGCGTATTTTCTTCCTCCAGGGTATGTACTGAATGAATCAACGGATCAGCAAACATCAGCTTTACAAATTGATGACAGTCCTACGCAGCGTAATAATGTCGAGCAGAAATTACGCGAGAGAGAGGAGTCGGTTCCAATCAACGATAATACATCTGTTACAGATGATTTAAAAGGTAAGAAAGGTAAAAGGCAAGTGGTAGGTCACTCCGCACACCAATCTTGGGTCATATTTTTTGTCAGTGTGCCGGTCATAGAGCAAGCTGCGATTGTTTGTAAAATACCCATCCCGGCCACCTGGTATTTCTGACACCTTGAATGTTTTGGTTTGAAATCGGCAAGGATAAATCGGATTGAGGATGACGCGGGAAGTGGCGGGTGTGTGAACTTTCGGTGTTTTGTGATCCATAGGGTACCTGTGTTTAGTGTTTTATGATGCCCTAAAGGCAGACCAGAAATCTAGCTTTTCGGCCGGAAAGAGTTGGAACAGGCGGGGAGCATTGTTAGAGACCGACTATACACGGGAAAAAAATCCGATCTCCGAAATGAGAAAAATGACTCATGATTTCATGAACACAGCGTAATTTCATGTTATGAAAATACACCATGAATAATATTCATGATATTATGACCAAATTATGCGTAACGCAGTAACATTCCCAAAATCATGAATCATCCGAGTTGAAATCATGAGCTAAATTCATGGGTTTAACTTTGAACCAAAAAATGTCAAAAGAAGAAAATAAAGCATCAGACTGAACTCGAACCACGAACCTTGAAGATCATTAAAACCATACTTTGACCACTAGACTATCAGTACTTGTATAAGATGGAAGAGAAAAGGTGTATAAGAGATACCTATGTAGCGCGGTTTATGAACACGGTTTGCCAAGTACGTGTAACGCTAGTAGCGATCTTGATTCCACTGCATTATGAAATCATGCATTTCCATGACGAAATCATGAATCATTGTTACGAGTTCATGGGATGGCAATTTTTTTCATTTCATGATTTTTTATTCCGTGTAGAGGATGATGAATAGACTTCTTTAGTTTGTTTTGTGTGATTTGCAGCATTATTTGAATTAAAGGTACAAATGAGGTCTGATTAACTGGCTCTTCCTCTTGAGTCCACTCTACATTTAATATTTAGATCTATAAGTGAACTGCTGGTTTGAGTTTCTCTGATATATTAAATTAGAAGATGTTCCTGAACATACATTAAAACAGCACTAATGTTCTGAACAACTTCAATGACAGCTGTCCAGCAGTGCTCCCATTTTATTTACAACAATCTAATGCCTACGAGATTGTGCCGAAGGTATGCCGAAAATGTGCCGATGGATGTGCCCAAGCTGTGTAGAATATAATTCAGGCACAATGTGCTGAGTGACTTACCCCTTGGTAAAAGGGCATGTATTTCATAATAAGTGAATTCATGGAATTGGGTTGTTAGCGGAATGCTTAAATAAAAGCAAAAAAGTTATTTTCCATTTAATTCCACTTAATTAATTTAGTTATCCGTATTTCGACTACAATGACATTCCCACTAAAGACTTTTTTATCCATTTAATTTATTTGTAAGGCTCAACTGTTAGTTAAAACTCTACGGAGCCAAGATTCAAGAGAATGAATAATTACAATTCATTTGAATTATTAAAACTAATCTGATCCGGTGCCCGAACGTGAAGAGCTGGGACGTAAGGTCTTCCTGGGCGGTGAACTATCATTGGCATACTTCCAATATTTTGCTGCTTTTGCGGTTGGTAGTGTAATACCGGTTGCTTCTGCTGCTGCTGGTTGTGTTGATTGTTCTGCTGTTTTCCGTGATCCAATTCAGCTTCCAGTGTTGTACCGATTTCTTCTTCTTCTTCTTCCTTCTCCAGCATCTCTATTTCCAAATCTATTGCCTGCTTCTCGACTTTGTCTGTCGAACTCGTTCCTGCGAGAACGGCAGCGAATGTGTTTTTCCCGTCTTCTTTTATTCGACCCCTGCTCCTGTGTCTCTTGTTATTTTTACGTTCCTCCTTCCGCAAGTCTTTTTTTGATGTCCCTCTTGTCCACAAGGAAAACATTTCAATTTATTTCCACTGGTAGAAAATTCTTCCTCTTCTGCTAAGGAAGTAGAGCATTGGTGGAATTTCTTTCTCCACATCCATGTAAATTCCGCGGACACCAGTGAACAAATCCGGTTGATATTCGGGTGGATACTTTTCCTGCACACAGCGCTTAATCTTCCCAAATTTGATTAGTTCAGCAGCAAGATCACGATTGGATACCTCCGGTGGTAGGTCAAACACCCTTACGTACTGGATGTGACAACCCGCTACCGACATGCAAACCTCCACTTGTGTTCCATTAGAATAATGGAACGTTTGCCTTTCATCGTTACGAGAGAGGGCTTCCCTCATACCTTCCTCGGACTTGTATTTAATGAATAACGTCTTCTCCTCAGCATTCTTATACACCGTGTCAATTATTCCCTGATCACCGGTGAGGCCTTTCACGAAGCGGACCATCTCCGGTAGAGTTGGCTGGGCAGCATTATTCGGGAATATGAAAGCAATGGTATTCGTGACGGCTATTACACTCGACATTTCACCGTACTGTATAGCTATCAAAAGCAACCGAAAAAACAACGCAGTGATCGAACAAAACATCTATCGGCAATGAGATCTAATCTTCAACTGACCCACTAAAGACTTATCAAAACCTAACCCCCTTGAGTATTCATCCCCTAGGTAAAAATGTCAAGATCACAGGTATAAAAAATGCATGGATAACAAAATGAATTAAGTGATCTGATGTTGAAGTCTGCACATTGTAGTCGAAATACGTATTTGTCATGGATACCAATTATGACGCTTCAAGGAATTTCTCCTCAGGAACCGTGCAATAAGTACGTCACGCAAAATTCAAGAATAGTCAACCCCCTTCATTTTCATCTTAATAAAGCTTACATAAATATATTATTTCTTATTTTGTTTCATTTATAGATAACGACGAAACGTGTATTCCGTCTGCACAGCTGGACGAAAATGATGGGAACTTGACAACAATATCCCAAATAAGTAATGATTCAGCTGACATTAAGCAACTATATAAAAGCCATCACAGAACAAGTAGTTCACTTGCTTATAATCGTATCACAACTAAAATTGCATGCACGAAAGAATCCATTAAAAAAGAACAGACTGCCCGGGACGCTAACGTTAACGAGTACTTAAAACTCGCAGCTAATGCCGACAAGCAACAACTTCAGAGGATAAAGGCAGTGTTTGAAAAGAAAAATCAGAAAAGTGCTCATAATATTTCACAACTTCAAAAAAAGTTAGAATCATATAGTAAAAGGTACAAGGATATGCAATACCATCAAAACCAAAAGCAGCAAAGCATTCGTCAGCCAAGGGAGATGTTACGAGATGTTGGTCAAGGATTACGGTAAGTACATAATTTCATTCAAAAATGTTGCATAACGGTCAATTTAACAGGAACGTGGGAGGAAATATACGTGATGGGGTTTCTGGCCTCTCTGCTACTGTTATGTCCAAACCACGAGAATTTGCTCATCTAATCAAAAATAAGTTTGGAAGTGCCGATAATATCAATCAACTATCATCCAGTAAGTATTATCATTATCTAAGGTATGTGCACCGGTTATGGCTATATCACAGACAAACTGACGATTGTATGACATTCCACTGTAAGCCATTCCCCAGAATGCACCATTTCCCAAAGAAAAAATCCCCAGAATGAACCATTCCACAGAAAAAAATACCCAGAATGAGCGGTTCCACGAACAAGTGGCAAATTTTTCCAGTTTTTATTTTTTGTATTTTTTGATTTGCATGAAACCTTGCATACAAGTTTTTGGGGAAGAAAAACGCCGTTTTGCATACTTGGTTCGCCATTTTGAATCTAGCCTTACTTATGAGAAGGGCCTATGAAAAATGCACATGATATCTTCAAAAAACTGTATCTCGGAAACGGTTTGTCCGATTGGTTTGGTGTCTTGGGCGAAATTTTAGACAATTGTTGGTGTTATATGGAGAAAATATGCACGGTAAAAAAAAAGTTTGGTATTTGTGTTTTGAACTAAAATATAAATTTTCCCTTTAAAGTGACATGTCAATAATTTTTTTATTATCCTTATGTTATAGCTGACTGAAAATGATATCTAGTGCACAGTAGGTTGTTCTGGAGAAAAATAGGTTACGATGAAAAAAATTGTTTTTTAAAAAAATACAATTTTAAAAAAAGCTATTAAAAAAAGTCAAAAAAGTTTGTCACCCTAATTTTATGAAATTTCATCAAATTTGCAAACAAAAAGTACTTCGGTAACATTTTTCTAAGATGCACCGTTTAGAAGATATTACTGATTTAATATTGTTTTTTTTGATAACTTAATAAGTTTTGGCCCTTTTCGGATATACTCCGTGTTTTTCCAGTTTCAAAAGTATTTTTTTCGGAAAGATTGGAAAATTTTGAGTTAAAATGACACTGACAGCTTAAAGATTCGAGTGAAATTCTCTGCCTTAAAAGTATTTTGAAAAACAAGTTCACTATCAGGAACAATGATTTCTTCAAATGATTTTTGGCGCGTTGTGCTGAAAACGTGCTAAGTATTAGTATTAGATACAGGTAATCAGATACCAGTTAGCTGTACTACGTACAGTTGGTGATTGTAAACATGGTCTTTGTTGGAACTAATCCACCATGGCCACGCTGGCCATAACGAGGCTAGCTCCGTCGTTGACCGTTCCTTAATAATAAATAAATGCAGAAAGGTTGCTAGTAGCATAGTGATTATAGTAATTTCAGCTCATAATCCTGTGTTTGTGAACGAGATCCAGTGTTGTTTGATAACATAATAATTGTAAAGGAAAGTGTAACACGTTTTGGTGCAAAGGTAAGTTTTAAATACACATTTTAATAATATGTTTTGTGATATTTTCGTACAAAACTAACAATTGGAAAATATTTTCTATGTTACAGATTACAAAATGAGTAAAATAAGATGTATTCGCCCATTCAAAGACATTCAGTGTTCGAAAGAGCTGCGATATCTCACGGATGGTATCATCCAAAAACTAAAATCAATTGGATTTTCCAAGGTATCCACACTGAACACCAAGGATTTTCGTGTTTGTTCGTCTTGCCGTCTACATATTGATTCAAGAGCTCACCTCACCCAAAACGAGGAACAAAGCGTAGCCGGCGGCTCAAGGATGCCAACTGTTGAAAGTTTGGTCACGATACCATCAGAGTCAACGCTAAGCACAATTAAATCAAATGAAGAATTCACGATGCCTATAGACGTCGAAATATTCAACCGAGGAATAGCAGCTATTCGTGTTTCGCCTATAGATTTAGGTAAGTTTTTTGATTTACGGTTTAGCGACTTTGCAGTCAATTTAATTGTTTATAGGAAAGTTTGAACATACTGAGAGGTAGGTAAGCACATATCATCGGTAAGAGACGTGTGTGTGAGAAAATTTGCGAAAAAATCCAAGGGCACCGGTGGGATTCAAACCCACAATTCCCATTCAGTACACGGGTGCATTGCCAATTATACAACGGTGGACCTATGGTCTACGGATGTATTTGGCTAATGACATTTGAGTTTCGAATCCGTTCCCCACCCCAGTCTTTTTGCGCAAGCGTTCTCTGATACACAACAAGTCTCTTACCGATGATATGTGCTTACCTCTCAGTATGTTCAAACTTTCCTATAAAAAAAAAAGATTTGGGTAAGGTTAAAAATGTTCACTATCCTGAAAAAAAGTGCGCTGAAATCGTCGAAGGTGTACGAAGAAATCTTTTTAAATTAGACGCTAAAACAGAAAAAGCAAACGAGTTTGATGAAGTCATAGAAAATATGAAAATTAAATTTTTAAATTCAGCCACAAGGCAAGAAAAACTATCAATTTTATCATTGTTGCCAAAATCATGGTCAGTACAAAAAATTGTAGACGAATTTAAAACCAGTAGAAATATGGCATCAGATGCAAGAAAGGAAAGAGATAATGTATTTGATTCATCTCAAGGTTCAAGCTGATTCAAGTTGTTCAAGTTGATCAAAATAAAAACATAAAAAAAAATTATTTTATGTCAGATGGTGCTGCTTCACAGTATAAAAACCGAAAAAACTTTTCTAGCCTTTGTAAATTTAAGTCAAAGTATGGTATTGACGCTGAATGGCATTTCTTCGCAACATCGCACGGAAAAGGTCCATGCGATGCTATTGGAGGTACGATAAAACGCATGGCTACCAGAGCAAGTTTAGCCAAAGAACGCGAACACCCGATAAAGACTGCAAGAGAGTTATTTAATTGGGACGAAAAGAAGAAGAACTTACAAAGTTGTCATTTTGTTATTCTACTACAGAAGAATACGAAAATATGTCTTTGCAGCTAAATAATCAATATAATAATGCAAAAACAATTCAAGGAACTCTAAAATACCACTAATTTCTTCCTCTATCAGAAAATACAATAAAGGCAAAGCTTTATTCAAACTGTCCTGACAATGATGCCAAAATATTCAATATTGTTAAGAAAGTTGTGTAAACAATAATTTTATAAAAATACAGGAATAAAAATAAACTGATGATATCCAACATATAGTGTTATTTTTTATTGCGCACAGTCACCATCCCTGAAAAATAAGCTTAATTCGCTCTTTTGAATCTTGCTAATTGAGGAGCTTACATTTGCAGTTCTCAAAAAGGTGTATCTCGAAATCGAGTTGTCTCATCGGTTTGATGTCTGTGGCGATGTTCGGCAATAGAGAGAAAATATGCACAGTATAAACACATCCAGTTTAAATGGATTTAACTGTTAGGCGATATGCAAGAGTTGAATGCACATTTTCAGCACAACGCACCAAAAATCACTTGAAGAAATCATTGTTCCTGATAGTGGGATTTTGTAACTTGTTTTTCAAAATACTTTTAAGGCAGAGAATTTCACTCGAATCTTTAAGCTGTCAGTGTCATTTTAACTCAAAAATTTTCAATATTTCCGAAAAAAATACTTTTGAAACTGGAAAAACACGGAGTATATCCGAAAAGGGCCAAAACTTATTAAGTTATCAAAAAAAACAATATTAAATCAGTAATATCTTCTAAACGGTGCATCTTAGAAAAATGTTACCGAAGTACTTTTTGTTTGCAAATTTGATGTTCTTTCATAAAATTAGGGTGACAAACTTTTTTGACTTTTTTTAATAGCTTTTTTGAAAATTGTATTTTTTTAAAAAACAATTTTTTTCATGGTAACCTATTTTTCTCCAGAACAACCTACTGTGCACTAGATAGCATTTTCAGTCAGCTATAACATAAAGATAATAAAAAAATTATTGACATGTCACTTTAAAGGGAAAATTTATATTTTAGCTCAAAACACAAATACCAAACTTTTTTTTTACCGTGCATATTTTCTCCATATAACACCAACAATTGTCTAAAACTTCGCCAAAGACACCAAACCAATCGGACAAACCGTTTTCGAGATACAATTTTTTGATGATATCATGTGCATTTTTCATAGGCCCTTCTCATAAGTAAGGCTAGATTCAAAATGGCGAACCAAGTATGCAAAACGGCGTTTTTCTTTCCCAAAAACTTGTATGCAAGGTTTCATGCAAATCAAAAAAGATGAAAATTACTCGTTGCTTTAATGATATGGAACCGCTCGAATGTACCATTCCCCGGAAAAATAAAATCCCCAGAATGTACCATTTCCCAGAAACTGTCAAATAAATAGTTGTTGTTTATTTATATTGTTCTGTGCACCATATGTTTGTTTTTGTTTTTCAATTTTGGATTTGTAGGCTTAGAAACTCGAGAAAATATTTTTAAAAATACAGCAGAATACTTCTTTTTATATCGGTCATCATTTGTTCTGGTTCTGTACAGTCCAACACCCTTACTTTTGAGACAAAATCAATGCTATTCCTTGAATACTTTCTGAAATGCACAATCCATCGTCCTGCGCTGAGTAGCTCTCTTTAACTTTTCGTTCTTATGTAACAGTTTTTTGTTAACACGACGTACAGTACAGCAAACTCTCTCTGAAAGTATCTCATATACTCTGCCGATGTCGATTGTTCCTCCTCCTTGAAAGCCTTGAGCACTGCATAAAACTTTTGATCTCCACCCCCTTTGAACAGTGCGTTGAACTTGTTATGAAATCCTTTAATTGCATTTGTAGTTCGTGGTAAATCATTCAAAGTTGTGTGATGAGCTGACCAAAATTCCGGAGGGAATCGCGGAGGAGCTTTAGTTTTGCTCTTTCTTGTCCCCAATACTTAATTCTTTTCCAAATACTTAAAGAAAGGTTGCATGGGTTTTGGTGAAGATTTTTCAACGATCTTGAAGCCTCTTGCAACATCATAAGGAAATCGCCTGCAGTGCTCGCGAAAAGAGCAGCAGCTAAGCGAAAAGTTGACGTTTCGAGAAAGAGCGTTTCTGTCAGATTTTCACTTTACCGGAGGTGTCAACTGATCGATTTCGTTTCACATGAACTGTAAACTGCAAAAAAAGGAAACTGGAAAATGTTCCATAAACAATTTTTCGCAACCTTTTTCGCTAGCGAAATTTCTTAATTTTTGGTGTTGTTC